TAGCAAAGAGAGACATACTGTATGTCATGCTATTAATATTGTATTTTGTTTTGCAAGTGAAAGTATAATAAATAAAATAAAGTGTGATAGCCATTTGCTCTTTTCAAAAAAAAAAATAAATTATAATTATCAAATTATAAAAATAATTAATATAATTTGAATATTTTAAATATATCAATAACTTTTGTATCTAATATTTTTTATAATAAAAAATTTATTGAAATTGAAATATAAATATGTTAAATATATTATATTAATTGGTTTTTTTTTAAAAAAAATTTTTAAAAAATTAAAAGTAAATAAAAAAAAAATAGAAATATCAAAAAAAACTTGAAAAAAAAACAATTGTTACAACTCTTTTTTTGTTTTCTCTTGATTAGAGATTTTATTTCTCCATGCACCAATATTAACATATATTTCTTGATATTTTTGAAATTTCTGCAGTAAAAGTATAAATATTATAAAGGATGTATAAATGTTAAATAACAAAAAAAAATTTTTTTTCTTTAATTTCAAAAAATTATCAACAAGGAAAATTTTTTTAAAAAAGTAATACGTGTAATAGTAATATACGTATATATACGTATTTAATTTTTCAAGTTTTTTATTGAGATGAGATTCTTATTTGAAAAGATTTTTAAAATTACAGAAATATCTTAAATATCCAGAATTCCAAGAATAAAAAATATTTGCTGTATGTTATAGATATTATAGGGGTTCATATTATCCGGATCACTTCTAATTTTCATATATATCAATTGATTTTTAAATATTGTACTATATTACCAATAAATATTATCGAGATAGATGTTTTTCCCGAATCTAATATAATTCATGGTATGGTTGACTTAATAATAAAACAATATCAGATACTACACTCGACTGCTTGTTTTTTAATCCAAAATATTAAAAGTAGTTACAAATAATTGACACAAATATTTCCATTAGTTCGTGAGAAAACAAATTTGTTTCAGATAACATTGTTACATTTTGTTATCGTCACAGTATATACAGTACCTACGTAATATTGACAGTCAGGTGAGATTTTGTGAATTTTCGTGTTACAGTACACATTAAAAGAATGAGATACACAATATGTGCGTGACCACGCGTAACATTGCGCAAATGGCACGTTTTAATTGTTGAGACATAAAAGGTTTGTTTTCTCCGATAATTATTGTTTATATTCTTTGTTCGTAACGTATTAACAGGCGTATGTATGGTTTTGTTGCCGCGATTCACTCATTTCATGAATTAGAAAAACGTGCCACAGTTTCATTATCATATAATTAATAAATTCCCTATGCGCGACGTAGTACTCTACCCACGAGGGTGTACCCATGATCATTGCGAAGAAATTTCTTTGTTCTTAATGACGTAATAACTCCCAATACGATCAAAGAAAAATAATTCATGTCTATTTATGCAGAGAATTTTTTAAAAAAAAACAAAACAAAAAAGAAGATTATGCATAATTATTATTCATGTGAAAAAAATTATGCATATGTGGTAATTCATTGTTTATATAAGAAAGCAGCGGAATAATGCGCATTTTTATGACTTTGAATGGTAGAGAAGAATACGGATGGAAGAGTTAGTTAAATTAAACAATCAAATTTGGAAATAAAGAACAAATGTCTTATGTCATGAAGTGTGTTTATTTATTTATTTCCCTGAGAGAATTTAATGTCCATATGAAAAAACTAAAACTTTATTGTAATTACAAAGAAATCGAATCGCTTTCTTATCAAAACATTACATAAATTTAATCTTATACATACATAAAGATGTAGTTCAGAGTTGTATCTATGAAACTTAAAATTTAGGTGTTAAGAGTAATTTAATATATTAAAAATGTCTTTCAAGACACTTTCATGATGTATTATATGTACATTTATTCTTCTTCTTTCTTTGGTTAGTATTTTAGTCCAATGAAAAACTTCTGAGCACTTCCTTGTCGTAGCGCGTTATTTCTAGGGAAAATTGAGGTTCCTTAGGATGCTCATAGTCGAATGATTCCAGGAAGCTAGGTAGTTGTATGCTAACCGATGTATTATTAGTGATTTTGTCTTCTAAAGTGTTAATTAAGTTAAAATTTTTTTCCGGGCGTTTACATAAACTATTGACGGGTGTCAATTGAATATCAGAGTTGTCGGATATTTGGCCTATTTGATCGCTAGACATTTTGTTGTAAGACAGATTCACAGAACTAGAGAGTGAGCCGGCATTACCCCTAGTTCTTCTAATGGGTGACTTCTTGATGGTTCTTTCTGTTACCACACTTGGTAATTTACGGAGTTTTTGATTCCAAACGTTTTTGACGTTATTTGGAATACGGCCGTTGCCTAATTTTCTCGCGATCTCCGCCCATTTGTAGCCTTTCTGAACTAATTCACATATTTTCTTCAATTCTTCTTCTGTGAAAGGATCCTTGTTAACTAAAAAATAATTCGAGTGATGTTTTAAAAACTTTTACAAAACTCCAATTTATTACACAGTTTTTATTTATTACCTTCAGGAGCTAAGTGTCCCATGTATCTTTAGTAATAAGAATTTTGTTAATTTCTGTGATCTAGTTTAAATATACGGAAATCAAAATTTACCTTTCACGACATTGTTTTGGGTCTCTTGTTCCCACATGGGCTGCCACCTTGCTCCATTTTCGGGCGCCATGCTTTCTAACATAATCGAGTAATCTACTATCTTCCTAATAGTATTGAATGTACAAAAAAGTTAATAGTAAATGACATTTGTTCTATATCATCAGCATCTTTTTTTTCTTTTTCTTTCTCCTTTTTACCTGAACGCTAAATCTTCCATGAATTCTATTTTCAGGTTTTGTTTCTTGTAAAGTAGACATATCTAAATTAGAGATCGTAATGTAGAAATCGTCTGCTACTCAAAGCCAGGAAAAAGACATGCATTATTTATACATTCTTTGACAGGAAGGAAGATGTTACCGTTCCCGTGATGTATTCCCTGTCATTTGAAATTCACGAAATATTATTTGTACATTTAGTAGTCAGCAGACCATGAGTATGTACTACATCTACTTTCATTCCGATCAAAATAAGTAATCGAAATTGTTTATTATCAAGAAAATGCTGCAATTTTGTTTTAATAATCTGTGTAGCGTATAGGCACATGATAAGCTCGCTTCTCAATGGAAGTTTAATGATTTGACAAAAAATACAATGGAAATCTATAAAAGGTAAATTCCATCTAATAAACCAATAGCAAAGTCCTTGGATTTGTGCGGTCTCAGAAGATAAATGAACTATCACGTTGGCTTCTCTCGTGACAACAATCTGATCAGGTGAATAACGCGCGAGTGAACACAGTATTACGCGATGAAATCTAAACCTGAGTCCCCCAAATTTTTTCTCTTTTGTCATATGACATTAATTTTATTTTTTGTTTTTTTTCAAATGGTTCAGGTCGTCATCAATGGAGAATAAATTCTCCAATACCCATAAAATTAAATCTTCCTAATTTCTCTTCCTAATTTGGCTTCCTTGCAACATGATCATTGGTAATTGGAACTTGGTATGTCTCATAATTTTGGGGAATACAATTATCTCGCTCTGACCTTTGTACGACCTGTAATTTATTGGTCGTTCCTTTTTTCTTTGTCATTCCGTCGAAAAATTTACTCCGCAAGTGAGAACAATGTGTCGTCAGTTGAGAGTTGAAAATAAATTAAAATTACTCCAACTTCTTTCATCATCAAGCAATGATCAATGTGTCTGCAAATAGACCATATGTCACCAATTACTAAAGAGTCAGAAATCCATTTAAACAGCAAGCTTTGGTAGCGTGAAGAATTCACAGATGGCGAAATCAAAAAGGTCGCGCCCTCCGAGTGAATCCAAAAAGCCTCGCCCTCCGAGTGGCTTCATATTGTATCGCGTGAAGTGTTCTAAAGAACTACGTGAAACGTACCCATCTGTGCCTCAACGAATCTTATCAAAATGGATTTCCGAGAAGTGGAAACGTGAACCAGACGCAGTGAGATACGAGTATCAAAATCGTTCGACATTAATGTACACGGAAATACGTCAGAACAATCCATACTGGTCCTGCAAGAGAGATGATGAAACTAATCGTTCAATATTATCAACAAATCCACGTCCTCGAGATGTTCTGGAATATTTGCCGTATCCAATGGTTTCAGAAAAGGTCGTCGGGGGATCAAGTGGCGCATCTGAAAATGAAGCTAATTTTAACATGGATGACTACATAAATTACTCTGCGTCTCCTTAATGAACTTTATTCCCTTATGAAAAAAATCCAAGATAAATTTTTTCCTCATAGAAAAAAATTTCTTTATTATGCCTCTATTAATCTACAATTATGTATGATAAACTTCGAAGTAATATGATTAAATAAAACAAACAAATTCATTTACCCGGGAAAATTTATTAATGCTAAAATTATGTATTGTTAGAAAGGTGCATGAAATGTTGTCATTGGTTCGCGAAAAGATGTCTAAGAATGGTCATCCGTTCCACCCAAAATACAATGTTAAGCACAAGATACAAAAAACAGAAGTTGAGAATATTATGTTCAAGAATGTTAATTTTCAACGTAGTCACAAAAGTAAGTATTGTACTAATAATACCAATACAACAAATTTACATTGAAAAATTGTAAATACACATGAAGTTGTAGAAATTTATGTCGCCGATTCTTTTTTATTTCTTAAGAAAAAAAAATTATTAACAAGAATCAATGGTTTCAAGAATAATTTAACATGCGTATTTGTTTATAATCTTTAATCAGCATCGATTTATAGACTATTTGTTTTTTTTTGTTTTTTTATTGTTCTTTACAATGGAAAGGTCAGAAATCAAATATTGATTCGAGGCCTTCAACACAATTAAATATTTGAAAGCAAAGGTCGATCGAGTGTTAAAAAAAAATAAATCAATATTTACGTAAACGCTTTAACGGTACCTACAACATTAAATTTTCCAAGTAGGCGTTTATTTTATTTTTTATTATCAACAATATAAAATGATATTTACTTGCTTTGTTATAAAGGCTACATCTCATGTTTTTTTAATGATAGAAAGGACATAACACATTTTATTTACAAAATTTATTGCTGTTACTTTGTGTATAACTAATCAGAAAGATTCATTACTACTCTTTAAAAAAGTGATATCATTGCGAATTAAAAAGATACGGTAATTCAATTTATTGAAAATATATTACTCGCTATACAGTATTAACAAGTAATTGTGAATTTGGAGTTTATTGTTAAAAATAAAAGATTTCTATTAAAATGCTTTTTAGACAATAATATCCGAGTTGGCTAAGTTATAGATTAATACATCAGAAAATATGTTTATAAAGTACAAATCAAAAATCAAATTGCCAATTTTACAAGCTGTCTTAACAAAGCACAAATACAATATTGAAAATCAATAAACATTCTATTTAACAATATCTTTTGCAAATAAAATTATTTAAACATCTTTTTTATATTTAACATATATTTAACAATACAACAAATTACTTGAAAATAATCTCTTATTAACTAATAAACAAAAAACAGTAATCTCTTCTTTAATTAAAAAACTATACAATTTTTATATAATTATAAACAAAACCCAATATTATTTTAATATCAAGCAATTAACAAGTATTTGTAAATGAACTTTATATTTTATATATTTTACAATAAGTAAATATTTAACTTTTGAAATGAAATTAGCATATACAGTATACTGAATATAAACTATATTATAAATAAAAAACTACTTTAATTAAAAAATTTTTTTACTAATATAATAAAATTTATCAAGATTAAATTAAATTAAGAATATTCTATTTTTTAAAAAAATTTTATTAATATAATGAAATTTATCAAGATTAAATTAAATTAAAAATATTTTATTAAAAACTTTATATTCCTATTCAATTAAATTATCTAAATTACAAAATATAAAAATTAAAAAACAATTAATTTTAATAAAATTTATATAATAAAAATCTAATCAAATCAATAAGTTTTTTTTATATTCAATAATAATTATAATAATTACTTTATTATATATAATAAATAATATCAATATAAAAAAATATATATAGAATTAATTAATAATACAGAAACTATTTTTAAATTATAAATATATTTAATAAAACAATTAAAAAAACAAAGATTTAAAGATTTAAAGATTCTAAATCAATTCAAAATGATATTAAAATAATATTAACTTATAATAAATTTAAAATATGAATCATAACTTATTATATTAAACTTATAATAAATTTGATATTAATTTGATATTAAAATAATACTATTAAAAATCCTATAAAAATCTTTAGATAAATATATCATTATTTTTTAACTTATTTTGCAAACAAATTAACTTGCAAAATTAAACAATATAGACTATATTTATCTTATAAAAAAATTATTAAAAATTATTAAAAAACTTTTAAATAGCAAAAAAAATTTAAAGTTTTTTAAAATCTTATATATTTTTAAAAATCAAAAAAAATTTATATATAATACAAATTCAAATTTTTTATAAATAAATTATAAAACCCCAATAACAATTCAACCAAATATTATCTATATAATATAATTAATAAACTGTTTATTATATCACAATAAGAAGAAAACATTTTTTATTCTATTAACAATTTTTTTTATTTTAACACTTCAAAAAATTGGATTTTACCAATAGTATTATTTTTAACTTCACTAAAAAAAAATCTTTATAAATAATATAAAAATTGTTTCAGTTAATCCAAAATATTTCTTAAGAGATTTTTTCATATAGTAATGGATATTCTATATTAATACCTGTCAAATTATATTATAGAAATAAAAAATAACAAGAAATATCATATGAAGTCTTTAATTATTCAAAAAGAATAACAAAAATTAATTTTGCTTCAATAATACTAAAAATTAACAAACTAATATAAAACAATTCAATTCAAATTAGATATATCAATTCCAAGTCCAACTCAAAATCTAATAATATTCTTTAATAAATTAATCCACCATTTCACGTCTTCAAGAGCTTACTAATTAACAACTCATAATTAGGCAGCAGTATCAAATAATAAAAAAAATCTTAAGTATAAACAAAATCTATATAATTTGTGAAAGCTCTTTGGTTTTAAAAATATTCAGATATACTTATAAACTTTATGATCTTAAAATCATTAACAAATTCAACAAAAATATAAAAAGTTCAAAAGTTAACAAATACAATAATCTTATTATCTTCAGAATTAAGCTACTCTTAGACATGCATTCAATTTTCTTAATCAAGACTTTTCCTTGCATTTGGGTATACAGACTGGGCTATACCCTATCCTAATCAAACTCTAATTCTCTCCTTTCAATAATGGTTAAAACTTTAGCTAAAATATTCCAATTCAGTACAGAGCCTAATTGGTTTGGAAAATAACTAGTTGCAAGTAATAAAAAGGATCACAGCCTTACAGAAGATACAATAGGCCAGTAGAGATGTGATTTAAAATTTGACAACAAATAAGGATGTGTTTTTAAACTATTTAGCATATAAAATTTTATAGATTAATTATGTTCCTTTTGAAGAAACATAATTATTTATTCATTATTTTAATAGGAATATAATTCAAAAAAACACTTGGATTAAGTGGTCTAAATTGCAAAAAACCTTTGTAGGTAGTTTTTTTTTGATCTTATATTTAAAAAAAAAACTTTTTTAATAGTGAGGGACATTTGAATTATGTCCTCGTCTTTAATTTAGGGACCCATCTTTAACTATAACATTAATTGTCTTTATATATACTAAACTATATGGAAATTTCTTTACATATCAATTATTGCTATCAACTTTTTCTATTAAATAGAGGTTGATACAAATATGTCAAAGCTTTGCTTGTTGCCAAGTCATTAATATTTAATTAATTGTTTTATCCTATTGGAAGAGAATTAAAAAAAAATAAAGAAATGTACTGGAGATAATATCTTTTATATGACAAATAAAGCTATATGACATTTGTTTGTTTTATTGAAAATAAATCCCTTTATCATTACTTGCAGCTGGGCTAACTATTTAATTTCTTACCTGCCTAAATAATATTCAAGAATGTTTAAAATAGACTTATAATTGATTTTTATTATCCAAACAGTAACTTATGTAATTTTGTACAAAGTAGACCTTATTGCTAGATGTCTTTTTAGGATAAGTACTATTAGAACAGTTTATTACTAGATTGGAATGTAATTAGAATAGAAATCTGTGAAAAAATACTTGATATTAGAAAAAAAATTATCAAATCTGCTTGTCAAAAATAGGTATCTCATATATCTTGCAAATTCTGATAATTATTATAACACTAATTAAATAATTATTATGTTATAATATCTTTTCTGAAAATCATGATTTCAATGCCTACTGGATTAGTATATAAAATAGTTTCTTATGAGAAATATGTTTTTACAGATTATAGTATCAGATACTATATTAATTCTATTCAATTACTTTTATATGAAGTTGAACTGATATCTTGTAATTTAACTTATAGAGTACTAATTACTGTACTATGAATCCACAGATAATTTAAACTTCTTATATTAAGTTCATTCTTATTTTTTTATAAAAGACAAAAGTTAAAGTATAATTTTATTATTAAAAATTTATTCTGTTTATATTTTTACTTAAAAATTTTTTTTTTTTATATTTATATACAATTGTCAAATTGTTATATAATTTAAAATAAATATTAATTATAATTTTATTATAAGTTTAATACTGTATTATTTATATCTTTTAATAATATTTGTATCTTTAGAAGAGATTGTGAAAGGAAAAAATTTAACTAATAGTATTGATCACATAAAAATTTGTTTTGCTAAGGGTCTAGATTGCTAATCAGTATATTAGAAGCATGCAATTATAAGCAACTCTATTTTAAATACTTAACAATATCACCATTCCATATACTATTTAAAAAAAATAACCATGAGACTGTTTTCTTATTTTATTCAGCTTTCAAATTTTTTGTAACAAAAAACTATGAGCAACTTATCCTTGTCAAAAGATTAGTATAAGTTAATTGTGTCATATTAGTATCTGAATTATCAATATAGATAAGATTGTTAATACTTAATCACATTTTCTTTAATTATATAGTTACACAAGTCCAGACTACAATTCAAAATCCAAGCATCACATCACTCACTACTATTATTACTTATGAAACACATATGTAAGATTTACAATATAATTAGTAGCTAGCTATTTTTTACC